CACCCTCTGATTAATGAAATAAGTTAGTATTGGTTCATGGTATCGGTTAACTTTTACGAGTATGAGTACACACACATTTTACAGTATCGGCCCCGATACCCGATACCAGTATCGGTATTGGTGCATCCCTACTGGAGACCGAATCATATCTTGTCTGTGCCTCTTCCATCCATAGTGATGATGAGAGACAGGTTCTTCACCATATTTTGGAAAATCCACCTCAGTGATCCTGAGGTGGATTTTAAAAAAAATGACGCAAAGAAGGGAACACCAGGCCATGACAAGCTTTTTAGAGTCAGGCCTCTATATGATGAGACCCTCAGTGCCTGCCAGGCTCATTACCAAAAAGGAGGGACTTGTCAGTAGATGAAAGGATGAAAGGTGGCAACCAAAGCAAAAACTGGGATGACACAATATATGAAAGACAAACCAACTAAATGGGGGGGTGAAAATGTTTATATTGGCTGAATCGAGAAGTGGCTACACCATCACAGAAAATGTCAAGGGGATCTGTGAGATGGATCAGAGAGGGCCCACTTGTTTTTGTGAAGTGGATGGACACACGGGAGGTGTCCGTGTGCTCCACCATCCATCCCTGCATTTTCAGGGGAGACGGTGAAGAGAAAGGTGAAGGATGGACACTTAGCTATCGGAGAAATCCCCTGTCCCACACCAATCATGGCATATAATAAAAATATGGGCGGGGTTGACCTGTCTGACCAGCTCACTCAGTATTATTTCACTCACAGAAAAACTGCCTGCTGGTACAGGACCATGTTGCTGCATTTTGTGGACATTGCGACAACAAAGGCATTCACCTTGCATCATGAGATATGCAGTGCCAACCAGGTTCAGCCCATAGCGCACAAAGCTTCTATAGTGTGCGTCAGCTTTGTGGGATGGACAAGACAGGTGCTCCCCACAGCAGGAGAGCCGAACACATTCCTGTTCAAACTGTCACCGACATAGATGTTGCCCAAAAAGGCACTAAAGGGAGACGCAAATATAAGTGCTGTCTCCAGGAGGACAACAGGTGGACCCTTAAAGTGTCAAGCCTGTGGTGTGCCCCTGTCTTGTGGTGAAGAGTTGTTTGAAAAATTCTACATAGGTTTTTTAAAATGTACTATTTATATTAAACATGATTTGTTAAACATGTTTGTGGTTTTTACCATAAAAAAGAGGCAAATCAGTGCCTTTAGCCTCCCAGCTGGCAGCACTCACATTGTAGGAGCGGTGGTGCCTCTGCTTCCACTGCACCAGGACTATCTGAGCCACTACGAGCGTGGCGATGAGGATCAGCACCATCTCTGCGTGCATGGCCTCGTGTCCTCTGTGCTTCATGTGCAGGTGCTCGTGTTGCACCCTGTAAAGTTGAAGAAGAGGAGGATTAAGAAAGGAGTGAAGCATGTGCCGGAGAGTCAGGACTAAACATGAATTTGTGGGGGGCAAAAGCTGCATTTATTTTCATATTTGTTAAAAAAAAAAGATGTTTTTGGATATAACGTGTAAAGAAAATACAGAAGAGGGTGTACTCACTTCCAGTTTTCTCTGTGTGTCATTTTCAGCAGGTCGTCCTGGAATGAGGGACAGAAATAGCAGCTGGGAGCTTTGTGGGTCTCACTGGACACTAATGTAGGTTAACACAACTTCCTAAACTGAGAGACAAGCTATTTGATGAACTGTGTTTCCTGCCTCTACCATAACAACATAAGACCTAATGTTTCTGTAATAAGAAAGGCGTTTCCTTAAACATGCCTCTGTTGTGCCACGTCAAAGCCACAGTATTCACAGCTCACCTGAACTACGGAGCTAATTAGCCTCAGTTAGCCGCTGTTTTCTTCACTTGCCACGGACAGTAACGGTCGTTAAAGTTTATAAACAGCTAGACTGAAGAGTTTAGTTCACTCACCTGGGGATGTACACCCGCCATCGTCTTGCTTTCTGTGCGCTTCTGGTGCAAGCTATCCGGCAACCAGCAGCTAGCTTAGCCCGGTCCCTACTGACCGAGTAAGGAAGGCCAAGGGTGCCAAAATTAAACGCGATTCAGAGCGACCCCTCCTTGTCAGCTTTGAACAAACCTATTATAGTTTCATTTTTCATTTTTAAATCAGATATTTAACACTTTTCCAATTGTGAGAATTATTTTTCTGCCAATTATTTGCCTGCATGTATCAGGACATATTTTGTTAATTTGAATGTTTGTTTTTCCCAAGGTAACAGCTCTTTGAGTAAGACAAGGCTCGACACAGGTGGTTTATGCTTGAAGTACCCCGAGTTGTGTTCAATTTTGTATCCATAACAAATCCTTCACTGGGGTGGCAAAAGGAGGACCCACAGGAAAAATAAAGTAAAGCAAAACTTTCATTAAAAAAAAAATACAAGCTTTTAATAATAGTAATTAATAACCCATTAGCATTATATAAAAACGTGCTACTGCATAACAGTGTAAAAGTCAGTTGCTTAGAAATATGTAACTGTTTTACCAAGTAGAAAATCAGGTACACCCATTTACCTACTTTTTAATACGAAGAACTTCTCCCCCAACTCTGCCTGATTTATTCCCAAAATAGTCCTCAACACACTGGGTTTTCACAGTATTGTGAATTAATATAGTTGTTCAAAGTCTGAAAACATTTTACAAATGTTATTCTGTAGTGTTAAAATATACATTATGCAATTTATGTTCTCTGGGATTCTTCTTCACGTCACCGAGTTAGATGTTGAATAGTTTTCACCAGTTAAATCTATCAAATATTTAAGCATTTGCCCAAGCAATGCAGCCCAACGAGAAGCAACAGTGTACAGTCTAAAACCCCTTATTGGTTAAATTGTTTGAATGACAATTTCAGCAAGAGAAGACAGATTAAAAACCAAAACAAAATTTTTCCACACCTATTGGATCTTTATTACTTTAAAAATTATGTACAAGTAAAAATACAAAAAGCTAAACACATAGTCTGTCTTTGCCAGCATGTATGGAAAGCAAAAATCAGTTATTTCAGAACTAAAAACATCTCATTTACACTCACAAAACTGCTAGCTTGTTTTCTGTTTAAGATTCATTTTATTTTTAAGATTAGATGACAGCCATCTTTCAAACTTCAACCTACAAAACAAACAAAAAAAAAACCCTACACAGCTGACTCATGTTTGATTGCAGGTCCATCAATGTTGACGTCCGGCCTGAAAGTGAGATAAATTGAGATAAAGTTAGATCTGGAAAAGAAGAGTTCACAAGCAAAGCTGCAATCTAATGTTCGCTCAGACATCCAAGGAAGATTTGAACCATCTTTGGTGTTTAAACCTCTGGTGGAAACTACGAATGGCAGGAAAAATCATCATCACAGCGATAAACTCTTCAAAGACGTAAGACTTCAACAAGTAACCGTACATACCAGCTTTAACAGCCTGGAGAATCCACAGAGTAGCCTCGTATCCGCGGCAATTATCTCCCTGAAAGGGAGAATACAATTTAGTTCTTAGAACAAAGACATTCAAAAGTAGAGCTACAATCCTCTAATGTTCGCTCAGACATCCAAGGAAGACTTGAACCATCTTCGGTGTTTAAACCTCTGGTGGAAACTACGAATGGCAGGAAAAACATCATCACAGCGAACCTTCCACGTTTTAATGAAGACTGTAGCTTCACGGGCATTTAAGGGAGAAACAAACAAAAAAAATCTATACGTGA